TTTTCTAGTCCCTACGTTAACTTAGAATTCTATCAGCTAGCTTCTAGCTGGGTTCAAAAGCTTGGGTTTCTCCAGTTTTCCTTCCTAAATTAGAAACTGACATGAGGGGCCAAATTTTTGTTACAAGACAGGTGGCTCAAAATGGGAAACCTTCTACCTCACCTGGATAAAGGGGGATGTGGTGGTGGGAGTCTGGTTGCAAAGGATGGAGTTGTGCTCACTGATCCCAGAAACAGAGTGCAGATAGCCACAGATAACCACAGGGTCTGGCGAGAACAAAAGCTGGCTGGATAGAAGGTTGTCTGGAAGCTCTACAGATGTTAGGGCCTCTAATCCTCACTTACTCTGCACCACTCACCCACACCATAATGACCCCTCATATCCTCAATGACAATGCATATCCATATCCATCCACATCCCACCTCCATAAGCCACTCACCCTGTATCCACCAATGACCTCAGGAGCATTATGGAGTTGAGTTAGAGGATTACAGAATTACAAATAGGGAGTTACGGAGCTCAGCAGCCTAAGGACCCAAAGGTGTGATCAGCATTGGTGAGGCATATCTAAACAGGGATGCACAGAAGACCATAATTAGATGAGTACAGGCATCTGAGTGCTATGGAAGATTATAGATATAGAGAGGGACTAGAGCATACAGAGATCAGGCTCATAAGCTAAATTGTCTACAAAACTGTGTGGAGAATTGGTGGGGCTTTGTGGAGAGAAGTAAGTACACAAGGCATACAGTTGAAATCAAAATTTTTGGTTATAATTTGAAGCCTTTGTAAGAATGGAATCCGGCTCGTTGTACAGAAGCAAAGCTAAGACTATTTATCTTTGTGTAAAATATTTCTATTAAAGATATTTCATCTTTGTTCATTTCTAGTGAGCCTGATGATTGATACGAATGGAAGGGTATACAAATTGTAAGAGTATGTCAAACATTGCAACTGGCAGCAACCTTTTGAAATAGAAATTGGCAGATTTAGAAAGGGAAATAATAAAGGCTGCTTTAAAAGGGAGAATTTCACCTCTATTCTAGAGTATAGGCAACTTACAATCACTAAAAATGATGGAATAATTCTGTTAAAAAATTCACAGACTGAATACAAAGTGTCATCAATTCTACGATCTCATATGTGCAAAGTTGTAGAATACAAACATTAATAACAGCCTTCAGCCTATGATTCCCTGAGAACGCTCTGCTAAGCCATTTTCTCAAGTATAACTTATTGATATTTTTGATGACGTCTCTAAATGGACAGAAATATTACCTATCTCTACCCCCGTAAGTGTATAACAGCTAAGGTACTTGCCAAATAGGGCAGATTTGCATGGTGTCTGCCCCTGATTTTAAATTGAAGTGTTTTTACAGCGAGACATTCTCAGCTAAATACCTTCCAAAATTCATAAGAACATAAGAACTAGGAGCAGGAGTAGGCCGTCCGGCCCTTCAAGCCTGCTCCGCCATTCAATAAGATCATGGCTGATCTTTTCGTGGACTCAGATCCACTTACCTGCGTTCTCACCGTATCCCTTAATTCCTTAATTGTTCAAAAAAAATCCACCTTATCTTTATCCTTCTCAGTCTAACTGAATAAACTTTGAATGAATTAATCAAAATTGTTAGAGGTACCTTCACCAATCCAACATCCTCTGATCTGCAACCTCTCTCATCTGGCACCCACGGTTCCAGTTTTGGTCTATGTAAATCAAACGAAGAACTCCATATGCTGGCAATCGAAATGCAGACCTGGTGACCGCTTTGTGTAACACCTACATTCCGCCTATAAAATTAACCCGAGCTTCCAGTTGCCTGCCACTTCAACACACTACCATGTTCCAATGCCATCATTTCTATCTCAGGCCTGCTGCAGTACTCTAGTGATGCCCAGCGCATCTTGGAGGAACAGCATCTCATTTTCCGTTTGGATATCTTGTAGCCTTTCAGCATCTCATTTTCTGCTTGGGTAACTTGCAGTCTTCAGAATTCAATACGGAGTTCAATAATTTTAATGCCTGAACAACCTCCTTCCATGTGTTTCATCCACTGCCACACACCAGGTCCTGTGATGACATGCATTGCTTTCAGCACAGCTAACACATTTTTCACCTTCTCGTAAACTCCATTATCACCAATCTAGCTTTTCTTCTTCCCTGGCTTACTATCAATAATGCCTTTGTCTGCCTAACATCTTTCCCTCTCTCTGGGATCAATCTCCATCTACCTGCTTATTCTTTCTCCTGCTCTCCCCTCACCAAGATAAAAAACACATTTTCTAAATGCTGTCAGTTCTGAAGAAGGGTCGCTGGATTTGAAATGTTAACCCTGGGTCTCTCTCCACAGATGCTGTCAGACCTGCTGAGTTTCTCCAGTAATTTCTGTTTTTGATGGTCTACATAACATTGCTCTTTAGGTCATGAGGTCATGGTACATACATGCTTACTCTGCGCTGATAGTTAATTTAGTGAAGTGCTTTTTCTTCTGTCTGGAATAATTCAGACACTATTTGTTGGACTCATTAGCATTTTCATGTGCTTATCTAAAAGTCCCTTAAATGCTGTTACCATAACTGCCTCAACCACCACCCCTGGCAGTGCGTTCCAGACTCCTACCACTCTCTGTGTAAAAGAATTGCCCCTCATGTCTCCTTTGAACTTTCCCCCTCTCATCTTAAATGCATGCCCCCTAGTATTAGACATTTCAACTCTGGGTAAAAGACTCTGACCGTCAATGCTATGTATGCATCTCATAAATTTTATAGACTTCCATCAAGTCTCTCCTCAGCCTCCTGTGCAACTTTATTCCTTTCCAGGTTCTACTGTATATTCAGGAACATCTATTGCTCCAAATATGATTTGCAGCCTTAAAATTAATTGAATCTAACAATAAAATGCAGAGCTATAAGCACGTTGCATAGTGCTTTTTAAACATGTTTAAAGACCATGAGCTGAAGCTGACATGGGATCTTGAAGTCTAGCAACTTCTCTGGTTCTAAGGCTGACAGATTGCAGAAGCACCACTTACATAGGGGTCCTGTACAAAGCTAGAATTATAATGGTCATATTGAATGGCAGAGCAAGATGGTCAGGTCATATGATATGGTCACATAAAAATATATCTTTTGCTATCAGCTGGTAAAACACCACTTAATTGTGGCACAGGCTATGTTGTTGCTGATACAGGACTGCTGATAACATTTTTGTTAGCTTTGGTTTAAAAGACACTGATCAAAAAGAAATTTGATGACTGGTAAACTGTGTTTCATCACATCTATTCCTGAAAGGATGTTACATAGATCAACCACACACCGCAGATCTGCTGTTTGGAGGAGGCATGTCATTTAGTGCTAAATACATTCTCTATATTAGAGATTTTCTGTAGCCAGAAGCAACACTCACAAAGGTCCCAGGATCTGGGTGAATATGTGGCAGCAAATACGTTAGACTTCTGACCAGATGGGGATCAAGAACCTTGATTGTTAAAAATGTTGTCAAATTTAACAGATGATGAAACAAGCCAATGAGGCGTGTAATCAGTATCTCAGGAGGATAGAAACTAAAGAAAAATTTCCAGATAGATCAAGAAAAAACATGTGGAGGTGAGGAAAGAACTTAAAGCACCACCAACAGCCATATTTACCTTGTAATCCCATTTTAGGGTAGCTGCAGCCAATGGTGATACTTTCCACACTACAACATGCTATACATCCCACCCAAAAATTAAAAACACATAACTAACAGAGATAGTGATTATACTCTCTCCACGGAAAATCAGCTAGTATAATGAATAGTTGGAATTTTGTCTAAGAGAAGTTGTAAACGCTGTTATCTAATGATTGTGTGGGTCTTTTAAGATATATGTCTTACTACCAGTTAAAAAGAGTAGAGATTTGATACAGAAAATTATTAGAATAAATAGATAAATTATGATAGATTTATGTAAGGGAGATGACATGTCAAGGACTAGAGGACACAGATGTATGGTTTTGGGCAATAGACACAAAAGATGTGATGAAAAACCTTCTTACACACCATCTGCTAATGCCTAGGATACTCTGACTAGAAGGGTGATGGAGGGGGAGGCAGCTGATAATTTCAGGAATAAACTGGATGGGTACTTGAGCGAAATACTCTTGCAAGGCTTTGGGGGTAGAGCAAGGAGACAGGAGTGACTTGATTGCTCTAAAAAGCAGAAAATGGGTTGAATAGCTTCTTTCTGTGGTACAATCGTTTTACTCTCGCTCATACTGCCATGACATTACCTGTTCCACTACCTCAAATCTAAGGCACTCGCTTCTTTTACCTTCAACACTGATACAAGCTACAGATCTTGCATTTGCCTCACAATTAAACACCTCTGATACAGTT